TAGTCTGATGTAGCTTTTTCATGGATAAGCCTTGCTGAGGATCTCAAATTACTTATTTTTTTGTTCTGTAAGAACTGTTTCCTCTGTAATAAACAGATTTTTGTTTTGCCAAGGATGAAGATCAAGTTTAATGATCTGTAGCTTTGCTAAAAAGCTATGCCTTTTAAGAATTTGAGCCATCATTTTGTCTCTGGTATTTTGATATCCCTAATCTTGTGCTCTTATACCTATATGGAATGAAAGCTATTTTGATCCTGAGTATCACTTGAACTAATGTAAAACATCTTAGTTCTGTTTCTATGTCCTTGCCTAGCTCAGACTTTAACCTTTTGTATTACTTAGTCTTAATGATTTATTTTAATACCACAGAATACATTTCACACATAAGTCTCTGTGGGACTCTTTGCTAGGCAACGATGATCAGAGCCAGAACACAAATTACTTTTGACTGCATGACAGTCACATACTTAAAAAACTATAGCACAAAGGTGGTATATATAAATAGTTCTAGTTTCACTGGAAAATTTTAAAAATCAGTCATTAATCATATATTTACATTTAAGTTGCTCTAAAATTTTTTTTACATTCAAATCCAGGCCCTTAGTATAATGATTATTTAGCCATAACTATTTGATTTGATTAGGATTATTTAACATGAAATTATACAGATAATTGACATTAAATGTTAAGTAATTTTGTAAAAACAGCTAAGGGCTGTTTGTGAGGCATTGTTTTAAAAAAAAAAAGGACTGGGCCGGCGCCGTGGCTCACTAGGCTAATCCTCCGCCTAGCGGCGCCGGCACACCGGGTTCTAGTCCCGATCGGGGTGCCGGATTCTGTCCCGGTTGGCCCTCTTCCAGGCCAGCTCTCTGCTGTGGCCCGGGAGTGCAGTGGAGGATGGCCCAGGTGCTTGGGCCCTGCACCCCATGGGAGACCAGGAAAAGCACCTGGCTCCTGGCTCCTGCCATCGGATCAGCGTGGTGCGCCGGCCGCAGCGCGCTGGCCGCAGCGGCCATTGGAGGGTGATCCAACGGCAAAGGAAGACCTTTCTCTCTGTCTCTCTCTCTCACTGTCCACTCTGCCTGTCAAAATAAAAAATAAAAATAAAAAAATAAAAAAATAAAGGACTTTATCCTTAGGACACTAGGATATAGACTTTGAAGTTAAGGCCAAATCTCTAACCACAAGTGAAACAAAGATTTATAATAATTTTGTTTTTATTTGGCAGAGCTGTCAGAAGATGATCTATTGAGTCAGTATTCCCTTTCATTTACAAAGAACAAAAAATAGCTGTGAAGATAATAAGAACCAACAGAAAAAGGAAGACCTTTCTCTCTGTCTCTCTCTCACTGTCCTCTCTGCCTCAAAAAAAAAAAAAAAAAAAAAAAAAGAACTCTTCTGAAATGTTTGTGCCTGACCTGGAAGATGGAAGTACTAGTGAAAAAAGCTTGAGTACCCCACCGAGGAGTTTTGCAACATAAGTTTGCAGCATTTTTGCAGAGAAAAAATGCAGAAAGTAATGGTGTTGCGGTTCCCGGAACCAGAAGCAGGTATAGTCTTCAGAATATTATTTGTTGTATTATGTGCCGAATTGATATGTATTTTGTTGTGAATCTGGCAGGGGTAGATGTAGGACCCGCTTCAATCTGATTATAATTTTATCAGGTGTTGTCTTATTGTCACCTAAAAGCATTGTTGTTCCTTCAACTTCTGTTACTTTAGTACCTTTCCATGCAGATTCCAGAAGTTATGTGTTGCACTACAGAAACTCCCATTATTTTGGCCATTCCCTCTCCACTTTCTTTATCCCTATTTTTTTTAGTTTGCTTTAGAAATTAACACAATTTTGCCAAGTATTTTCAGAAATATGTTAAAATGTAGATGACTCTAGAGTTGCAGTATTACTTGAAATGCTGATGTCATGCTAGATGCTGTGATTACAAAAATGAGACAGTAGTTTTCGTTCTAGAAAAGTTAGTGGCACAGTTGGGAGAAAAGGTGTATAAGCAAAATCTGTCTATGAAGTGTGTAAATACAGTGAAAGATACAGGTGTAAGCTGTTTTGAAAGCATTAAAGGGAGCTCTTGCTGGATTAATGGTTGGAAGCATTGAGAAGGAAGGGGTAAATGTTAGGTGTCACTACTGAGGTTTGAATGATTAGCGGGATGAATCAGACAGACTGCAGCAGGTACTTTCTCAATAGCATCAAACATCTTGATGAAAGGTGGGGAACAGCTTGGGACACCAGGTTCTGTTGAAGGCTGCTGTTGCCACTGCTAGAATGCAAGTTGGGGAAAAGGTTGGCGAAGGGGGAGCGGAAATAGTCAGGAGGCCTGATTATGGAAGACTTTGTGCCAGACTAAGTCTCAGTCAGGTGAAGGGTGAGTCTATCCCTGTTCTAGAGAAACTACGGTGAGCACCCTGTCCTGTGAAGATAGATTGTAGAGGATCAAAAGAGGTGCTCAAAGATCAGTGAGGCTGTTGTCATAGTCCCTGTGAATGATGGTGAGGTTTTTCAATAGTGTGATTTGTAGATTAAGAATTTAAATGCTGGAATCAGGTCACTCTGATTTAGGAAGTCTTGACTTAGCAAGTTACAGCTTGGTGTTTCACTTTTTTTCCCTAAAAGACGGGGCTAACAGTTGTAAGAACCTCAGTCCAGTGTGAGATGCAAGCATCTGAAGTGATGTCTTGCTCTGCACCAAATGCCTGCCCCACCTGAGCCTCACTGTAACTGATTGTTTCAAACCTTTCTCCTCTGGGGTCTTCTCCAGTCACCTACAATACAATTCAATGATCATTTTGATTCTTCTGTTGCTAGTCGCTCTGTAAAAGATGGGCAACAGAGTTTTAGTTGATGTATGTTGAAAATTTTCAGAAAGTTGACTTTTTGCATGTAAAGAAATTTTTGAGATTGATTTCGTTTCTACAATTGGGTGAGAATCGTTTGGAGTTGAACTCTTCTTTGGAGAAGAATAAGAAGAATAGAATTCATGTGTCTTTACAGGACTTCCCTACTTGGTCATTGTAGAAGCTTAAGGACATCTCCATGTCAATTTTCAAGGTTTTCTTCTTCATGAGAGATTATGAGATAATTACAGGATTGATGTTGTTTTAACTGTTTGAGGATAAAAGACATAGAGTTGGTTCTAGCTACTATATAGGAATTTCTAGACAGAGTGTGATGGATTAAAAGTAGCACTGAGCAAGGTTTCAGTCACCATCTAAGTTCCTGAAGCCTCTTTCTTTATAAAATACGGATGATCACGTAGATAATGCTGTTGGGAAGGTTAATAACAGCTTTGTGGATCAAGCACCTGGCACAGTGCTTAGGGATTAATACATACACAAGCATTCATGACCATCTTTTTTTTTTAATATCATGCAACTAAACAGAGGTCTTAAGTATGCAAAAAGTCATCTGGAACCTGTCTGCTTTTTGGAATCTTAATTATCTTTATTATTTAGATACTTTTCCTAGAAACCTGCATGTTAATTTTTTTAAAGATTTATTTATTTACTTGAAAGGCAGAGTTATAGAGAGATAGAGGGAGAGACAGAGAGATCTTCCATCCACTGGTTCACTCCCCAAATGACTGCAGAGGCCAGAACTGGGCCAGGCCAAAAACAGGAGCCAGGAGCTTCATTTGGATCTCCCACATGGGTGCAGGGACCCAAACACTTGGGTATCCTTCACTGTTTTCCTAGGCCATTAATAGGGAGCTGGATCAGCAGTGGAACAGCCAGGACTTGAACTAGTCCCTATATGGGATGTCGGCACTGCAGGCAGCGGCTTAACCTGCTACGCACAGGGCCAGCCCTGCATGTTAATTTTTGAGATACAGAAATACAATATTAGAAAGGTGACACCATAGGCTAATTGAGAAGAAGCAACCATGAACCAGGAGGACTCGTGAGTTTTAATTTTATTCCCCAGCTGATTAATTCTGTAACTCTGGGCACTGTTGCTATAACTTCTTTTTACCTGTGAGACAATATATGGAAAAATAATTAAGTAGCATGGGCATTACTCTTTATCTAAAAATTAATTTGTGATCAGATACAGGTACATAAGCCTAATAAGAGCTTTCCTTCCTGTCCTGTACCTACCTATGTCACTTATCTAGGGACTTGATGAAAGGATACAAAGAATTTTTTCTCTCTAGTCTTTAGTAAATATTCTTTTTATCACATTGGGTTTAGATTAATGTTTATTAAAAAGGTAAATTCTCTTTAAGTTTCATGTTTACCAGATCACATATCTTGAGATTTTCCTTATAAACCTGAAACCTTCTTGAATAAATCCTCTTCAATAATGATACTAAAAAAAATTGTGACACTGCTATTCATTTTTATTGGAGTGTATTTAGGTCGTCTTTTTAAAGCTGCTACACTGATTAAGTAATACCTGTTCAGGAATATAGATCAGTGGGTGAGTGTGCTATTCCAAGTTACCTGATGATTTGATACTAGGAATGAAGCTAAGATAAGAAATAAATGGCTAATTTCTCCCCTTTTGCTTCTTACAAAATATGAAAATGTCCTTCTGCTGCATATTTCCCTATTTGTTCATATGTTTGGTTACCAGCCATGTGTTTGTTAGCCACTGTCCTAGGTACTGTAAAGGATACAAAGTCATGGACCGTACCTGCCCTCAAAGAGCTTATCTTCTGTTTGGGACTTAAGGTTAGGGGAAAGAATACCAATATAATGATTGGGTATTGATAAAAATATGGAAGTTCTAAATACATGTGTGTGTGTGTGTGTGTGTGTAGATGACTGCTTTTAAAGGAAAATACCATCTAAAAATTCATTATATACGTTTAGAAAATGTATACAATTTAGAAAATGTATACATTTAGAAAATATGGAATTTTGCTGTAATCAAAATTCAATTTTTGAATAAAATTCAAGATGTGTATTGCCTTTATTTATGAAATTATGTATTTGTGAGTAGACTCTAAATTACTGTCCATCATTTCTATTGCTTTTTCCATTAGGTTTTTTTGTAGTTCTCTGGATTCTGCTGATTGCGTGTCAAAGGAAGAGAGCAACCAGGGTCTCAATGAGACAGCTGTCACAGAAAAGGAGAACACTCCAAGTCAATCCGATTGTCCAAACCTAGAAGGCAAAAAACTGGAAGCCTGTAATTCAGATGATCAGATTCCAGAAGATGTCACTGTGTTTATTGATGAAGAGCCTCAGACTCTGAAGACCAGCAAATTCACACGGACCATTTCACCATCCACTTTGGGGACATTAAGAAGTTGTTTTAGTTGGTCTGGGAGTCTTAAAGAGTTTTCAAGAAGTCTGAGCCCCCCTACAAGCACAGCACTGCAGCAGTTCCAGAGAAGGAGCAGTTCCCCCACCTCTGTGCCTGAACATGGGAAGGCGTGTGATGCATCTCAGTTAAAGACCGATGCGTCAGTTGATGAACTTCATCCCTTCCATGAAGAAGGCTGTTCTTCACAGTCTCAGGAAAGTGTGGAATTATCATCACCACACAGTTTAAATACATCAAAACTGTCTCAGCCTTCCAGTAAAGATTCTGATTCAGAGGTAAGTCAAATCATGAAGATTTTCAAATTTGTACATAGGAGAAAGAGTGTTCATCAGGTGATTGAGGAAATTTTGCTTAAAGTTTGAAAATAAGTGACAATCTTAATTTTTCATTTAAATCCTATTGTGTGGAAAGGACTTGTCTCATATTTCCAGCTTCTGTGTATTTCATCTAAATCTGCTTTCTGAATCCCTTTGTGGTCCCTTCCATTGACAGTTGTCTCCAATGTAGTGGCACAATTACAACTCAAGAAGAATGGTATCTATGAAATGAAAATTTATCATAAAGATGCTATTTAAGTCATTAATATACTCAAATTCAATTAGAGAAGAAGTGCAGCTGCTTTAAATTTTTATAGCTACTCATTTATGGAACTATTGGCTAAGCTTGAGATAAGCAATAATATTATAGTAGGAGAGGATTTTTTAAAAGATGTATTTATTTTTGAAGATTATTTATTTGAAAGTCAGAGTTACACAGAGAGAGGAGAGAAAGAGAGGCAAGAGAGAGAAAGAGAGAGTTGGGGTGGGGGGTTCTTCTTTCTGGAGGTTCACTCCCCAGCTGGCTGCAATGGCTGGAGCTGCGCTGCTCTGGAGCCAGGAACTCCCTCCAGGTCTCCCATGTGGGTGCAGGGACCCAAGGACTTGTGCCATCTTCTACTGCTTTCCCAGCCCAAAGCAGAGAACAGCATTGGAAGTGGAGCAGCCAGGAGTCGGACCAGCACCCATATGCCAAAGTATGCCAGAGTGCCAGCCCTAGTAGGAGAGTTGTTTTATTTCATTCAGCATTTTGACAGGCTCCTGAAATGGTTTGTAAAAATCTTCAGTTTTAAAAAATATTTTGTGGCCGGCGCCACGGCTCAACAGGCTAATCCTCCACTTAGTGGCGCCGGCACACCGGGTTCTAGTCCCGGTCGGGGAGCCGGATTCTTCCAGGCCAGCTCTCTACTATGGCCCAGGAGTGCAGTGGAGGATGGCCCAAGTGCTTGGGCCCTGCACCCCATGGGAGACCAGGAAAAGCACCTGGCTCCTGCCTTCGGATCAGCGCGGTGCACCGGCCACAGCGCACCGCCCGTGGCAGCCATTGGAGGGTGAACCAATGGCAAAGGAAGACCTTTCTCTCTGTCTCTCTCTCTCGCTGTCCACTCTGTCTGTCAAAAAAAAAAAAAAAAAAAAAATTTGTACAAGGTCAGTGCTGTGGCATAAAGGGTAAAGCTGCTGCCTGCAGTGCCGGCATCCCATATGGGCGCCGGTTCGAGACCCGGCTGCTTCGCTTCCAATCCCGCTCTATGCTATGGCCTGGGAAAGCAGTAGAAGATGGCCCAAGTCCTTGGGCCCCTGCACCTGCATGGGAGACCCAGAGGAAGCTCCTGGCTCCTGGCTTTGGATTGGTGCAGCTCCCGCCATTGCAGCAACTTGGGGAGTGAACCAGCAGATGGAAGACCTCTCTGTCTCTCTCTCTCTCTCTCTGTGTAATTCTGACTTTCAAGTAAAATAAATAAATCTTTAAAAAAATATTTTGTACAAATTACATCTCAAACTAAAACATCTTATGGTTTCTAAAGTAAAACTTTATCCTTTTCATATTAGATTCATTTTGTTTGATTTATTCTATTCTGGGTTTTTTATCTTTTTTTGTGAAAATTACATTTTATTTACACTGATTTTCTCCTTTTACTTATTTTACATTTTGTTGAATATTGGTTAGTTGTAATAAAAATTTAATAGTAACAATTTTTTTTTTATTTGGGGGATCTAGGAATCTGATTGCAGTATTAAATCACTTGATAATCAAGATAATCAGAACTATAAGCTGCATTTATCTCATTTCTCAGCAAAAAGCACACTACTGAAGAATAAGGTAAAAAATTTATTTTAAAATTAAATTTCAGAAACAGTCCATGCTTATTACCAGAAAAAAAGTCTACTTTCATACTTTCTAATAACATGTTTATGCTTGATTATAGATGTTTAAATTGTAAACCTGTTTTTCTTTTGTAGCATATACATTAAAGGTCTTTTTCCATGAACTTGCATAATCATTACTTATAATGAATATTTAATATGCCATTGTTTGTGCTTATCTAACCCTTCATTTTTGTCATTTACTGTGAAAAATTTTTTGCTAGAGCAAACAGCGCCACAACCAACATCTTATGGGTAAATACTTAAGTACATGTACATGGTCAGTTGGCATGTTTGAATTTTATGGAGTGAAATTATTGATCCCAGGGCCTACAGTTTACAGCTTTAAAATACATTGCCAAAAGACCTTCTAAAAACTGTGCCTGTGATAAACTAGTTTTTAAGTCAATATATATAAATATTTCATTCTTTATACACCCTCTGTCAGATTAATTAATTTAAAATCTTGTTTTATGTACTTCACTCTTACTATGCTAAGAAACAACAACAAAACTTCAGTGGCTCCATGCTGTGCACAGGGTGAAAACCAACACTTCAATGGAAACAACCTAAATGTCAAAAGAAATTTAAGTAAATTATACCACATTTATACAGTGGAAAAACAGGTAGCCTATTCCAAATAAAATTAAATTCTATATGCAAAAAGGAAAATTCTCCAGATATAGTACTAAGTGGGTGAATGTATTACTGGTTAAAATAATTATGATACTTTCTAAAGAAGACATTTATAAATAGCATATTTTTACATAAAGAATAGTTTGAAATTAACTAAAGGTAGAGTATTAAAATGGTTGTTTATTCATTAGGTTCCTGGGCTGTATAAATCCAGTTCTGCAGACTCCCTTTCTACCAAGATCAAACCTCTGGTGCCTGCCAGAGCCAGTGGGCCGAGCAAGAAGTCAGCCAGCATCCAGAGGAGAAATCACCATAATGCTGAGAACACGCCAGGATTGCAGATAAAAATCAATGAGCTGTGGAAAAATTTTGGCTTTAAAAAGTGAGTTGTTTTGTAATTTATTCTAAAACAGGATAAGCTGTTTTCCATAATTTCCATCCCTTCCTCTCAACTGTTTTTAATTTCAAATGAATCAATTTCTGTTTCTCTCATTGTGAAAAAATTATTTTCCCTGTTGCCTTTACCTGACTCTTTATATTTCATTTTAATTTCTACATATTCATTTTAATTTCTACACATTCTTTTACTGAAACAATGGCAAACAGAAACCTGTTTTCAGTCTGCCTTTGGAGTCTCTCTGATGTTAAACAAATTACTTATCCAAGCCCAAGTATCTCAGCTTTCTTTGATTCTTATCTCACAATTGTAATGAGAGTAAAGTTTGAGATGGGGATTTAGGGGTAATGCTATACACACTTCCTAAATTCTCACATCTAAAATAGGGTGAATCATTGAGTTTATATGATGAATTTGCCAGATTTCTAATTTATATGGCAAGTGCAGTTTTGAAAGATTTGATTCTCCATACAGCTATAATCTTTTAACCCCAGAACTTTCTGTGAGGCTGCATAATTTCCCACAGAATAGCATGAATTTATACTTGATTTTCTTGTTCTTTTCCTTAAATACGCTAAGTCTAATCATCAAAAAGAGGAGGGGTGGTAGATTAAACCTTACATAATGGAAATATTGTCTCAAATGAGATAGTAGAAGTTGAAACACTGTAAATAAATAAGTGCTGGAGAATTGCTGCTTATTTATTTATTTATTTATTTATTTTTATTTTGACAGGTAGAGTTATAGAAAGTGAGAGAGAGAGACAGAGAGAAAGGTCTTCCTTCCGTTGGTTCACTCCCCAAATGGCTGCTACGGCCGGCACTATGCCGGCCCAAAGCCAGGAGCCAGATGCTTCTTTCCAGTTTCCTTTGCAGGTGCAGGAGCCCAAGCCCTTGGGCCATCCTCCACTGCCCTCTTGGGCCACAGAGAATTGCTGCTCTTTTTACATTGTGTAAAGTATAGGATTAAATCATTTACTTATTTGAAAGTCAGAGTGATGAAGACAGAGCAAGAGACAGAAATCTGTCATTCACTGGTTCACTCCCCAGTTGTCTACAAAAGGCAGGACTGGGCCAGGTGAAAGCAGGAGGCAGGAATTCCATCTAGATCTCCCTCATAGGTAGCAGGGACACAGGTACTTGGGCTACCATCCACTTCCTTCTCGGGCTTATTGTCAGAATCTGGATCAGAAATGGAGTAGCCAGAACTCAAACTCTCATGTGGTATGTGGGTATACCAAACAGTAACCTAACCTGTAATACCCTGCTAGCACAATTTTAATATATTATTTACTTGTGCATGATTTTGTAGACTCATGCAGTAGTCATTTTGAAAATACAGTTCATTGAGTTACACATCTCTCTCAAATATTGACATATTTCATTATTCAGTAGAAGGAAAAAAATTCACAGAGAAATCTTAAGTATTGGGAAGTTGTCAAATGGCAGATACAGGTTTTCCAAAATTCTAATTTTCTAGCTTTCAAATTTTATTATTTGCAAGAAGCACTGTTGGTTATTTTATTTGAAGTAATAGGCTCTCTTCATTTTACAAAAGCCAAGAACCTAAATTTGAATGATCATAGTGTCATATGTACTTTTAGTTGAGGTAACCATCATACTTTGGTATGCCACAAAAGTACATTATATGTACTCAATTATATATACTTGATTTCCCATTTTGACACAGAATATTAAGAAATGTAACAAAGGTTGAGATTTAATAAAATTAACAGTTTTCAATGGTTCGTCAAGAATGTTCTTGAGACTGTCTTTGGTTTTTTTTTTAAGATTTACTTTATTTATTTCAAAGAGTTACAGGGTATGTGTGTGGGGGGGTCTTCCATCTGCTGTTTGACTCCCCAGATGACTGAAAAGGCCAGAGCTGAGCTGATCCGAAGCAAGGAGCCAGAAGCTTCTTCCAGGTCTCCCACATGGGTGCAGGGGCCCAAGTACGTAGGCTATCTTCTGCTGCTTTCCCAGGCACATTAGTAGGGAGCTGGATCGGAAGTGGAGCAACCAGGACTAGAACTGGTGCCCATATGGGATGCTGGCACTGCAGGCCTGAGGCTTTAATCCTCTGCACTGTAGCACCAGCCCCAAGACTCTTAACGATTGTTTTTTAGCTGCAAATGCAGAGATGGAGAATACAAACACTATCAATATTACTTATACAGTTCTGTGTCACTATCTTCATTCATGCTCATTTACCAACAGTTATATGCAGTTCTGCTTTAGTATCATCATAACAAATGTCAGTATGGTAGAAAAAAGGAAATGAAGCCTAAATGTTATGAAAATAGTTACAACACTCCCCCTAAGAGAAATCTCCAGTGTTTCATGGAACATACTTTGAGAACTGCTGCTAGAGGGAAATTAAGAGTACAGCAGTATTGTTAAATGCTTTTTAGAAAATAGGACTTACTGGTTTTTAATTTTTGTTGATAGAAGATTGAATTACTTGTGCTATCTTGATAATGTGATTAATTTTTATGGCTATAAAGCCCTCTTCTAGTGAAAAAAGAAAAAAAAAAGATATGGGGTTTACAAGATAGTTCTTAACCATCTGTTCATTCTTCACTTAGATTAGTTCTTAGCCAGATTTGAGAATGGCACTAAGAAAAGCATTTAAAATCTCTTTACTGGAATCATTCTGCCTTAGCAAATATATCTAGTAATAGCCTGCCACCTACATTAAAAGGTAATTTTGAAAATAGGATGGAGATTAAGAAGCAGAAGTTGGGCCGGCGCCACAGCTCAATAGGCTAATCCTCCGCCTGTGGCGCCGGCACACTGAGTTCTAGTCCCAGTCGGGGCGCTGGATTCTGTCCCGGTTGCCCCTCTTCCAGGCCAGCTCTCTGCTGTGGCCCGGGAAGGCAGTGGAGGATGGCCCAAGTGCTTGGGCCCTGCACCCGCATAGGAGACCAGGAGAAGCACCTGGCTCCTGGCTTCGGATCAACGCGGTGCGCCAGGCCGCAGCACGCCGGCCGTGGTGGCCGTTGGAGGGTGAACCAACAGTAAAGGAAGACCTTTCTCTCTGTCTCTCTCTCACTGTCCACTCTACCTGTCAAAAAAAAAAAAAAAAAAAAAGAAAGAAACAGAAGTCAAAATATATTGAGAGTATTCAAAAAAGAAGCTGAATGTGTTATGTAATGCAAATGTACAGTAAAGGTCTTATTTTCTTCATATCCCTTTCCTATGTCCGGATTATTTTTTTACTAATGACCAATACTTTAGAAACAATTAATTTTATTACATTTTATCTTGCAGAGATTCCGAAAAGCTTCCTTCTTGTAAGAAGCCCCTGTCTCCAAAGATAACATCCAACTAACTCCAGAAATGGAAGAGGATATATTTAACAAGCCTGAATGTGCTCATGTTCAGAGAGCAATATTTTAACAATTGCAGACTGCTAGGAGGCTGTTGCTTGCAAGAGAATCTTATCAATTTGAAGTCCTTATTTGAGAATAAGGCAATTACCAGCTTGAAAGATTTGTTCTTAAATCTATGCCATTTTAAAAATAGAGTTTGTTTTGTATATTAACTATGTAATTCTTTTGCTCAGCTTTTTATATTTTCACAAGAAGCTAATAAGAAGAACAATTCTATCTTTGACAGGTTTTGGAAGTTTTAATTAATTAGGAAAATCCCCTGAAGTGTATACAATTCTGAAGATTTCTGTAATGTCTAGTACAAAGATGTTAAATATAAAGCTACAATTCTATATTTTTTTTTCTTAAAGGAAATCTATTTCTCCAGGGTTCCCTTTTTCCCACCTACTTTTCCTATCAATCCTCAGGGTTCAATTAAAAATAAAGCTACTGAGATGGCAGGTGTAGTTGAAAGGGTTAAAGATCAGTAAACAAATGGGAGGATACTCTGGTCTTCTTGACGAGTTTGATTGGATTGCAGATTGACAGTCCAGGACAACTATTTTCAGCTGCATGTGAGAGGAATTACCTCTTTATCATTAATATTCTTTGCTTATTATTTTTATTTTATTTGAAAGGCCAAGGGAGAGAGAGCGATCTCTTCTATCCACTGTTTCGCCCTCCAGATTCCTGAAATAGCCAAGGCTGGGATAGGCCAAACCTGGGACCCTGGAGCTCCATCCATCTGGTTGCATATGCAGGTGGCAGGGACTCGACTACTTGAGCCATCATCTGTTGCCTACCAGAACACCCATTAGCAGGAAGCTGTTTCAGAATCAGAGTAACTAGGACTTGAACTATGCATTCCATTATGAAGTTTGGCCATTCCAAGCCACAGCTCAACCCAGTGCTCCACAGTGCCCTGATCATTAATATTCTTAGCTTAAAATAACATCACTTTTTCTTAATATATACCTTTTTTAAAGTGTGGGCTAAAAGGTCCTTAACATGTATGAGTATTTCAAAGTAGTGCACTAAATACTGTGGGATATACTAAGGCTGCAAGGTCTGTTATGTGTGCACACTACAGGGAAATAGGCAGATGCCTGGGAGGAACCAACTACCCAAGTGAAGATCTGAAGGGATAGGAAGTAGAGGGATTATAAAAGTGCAAAAGGATACAGGAAAAGGACCTAGAGTATCCTCACTTTTAAATAAAACTTAGTGGAGGACTCTTGGAAAAAGGTATCAGAGTGAAACAAAAAATAACCAAAAATTCCTGCATGAAAATTTTAAAAGACCCAATCAGGAAAGATCTAATGCAAAGAACAAAAGCAGATTTGAATTTCCTGTGAATGTTTCCTAATATAAAACAAATTATGACTGTGATTCAAACATCATCTATAAATATTTTTCTCCTCAATCACTTAAAATGCCACTTAAACAACAAAATGAATAAAATAAATCCATAAGCGTTGACGTAATAGAAGAGGAGACATCAGACAAGGAAACCAGTGGATGGGTGATAAGTGATTTCACACAAAAGATAATTGGAATGATGGCATGAGCCAACAAGAGGTAAAATTCTAGATAGGCTTAGTAGTTGAAGATACAGTTTCTTCTGAAGCCAACAGTGCAGGGTTAGGCTAAAATTAGGATTGGTTTTGAAAATCTTTAAAACACAGGGCAAGGGGTTTTCAGTTTCCCAAGTCCCCACATAACAGCTATTGGATGGCAAAATCAAAACCCCATGAACACCATCTATAACATCCAAATGAAGACAAGCTACCAACAGCTGGGACACCACAAAACACTGGCATCTATTCAGGTGAAGTAGACAGATGAAGGGCCATTTTTGGGCCTGAGGATAGGATGTTAGAATACCCCTTGATAATGCACAGTGGGCCACACTATGAACAACATTTGAATTTGGGAAAGGCATTGCCCTTCCAGTGAGTGAGTGCAAGACACTTGGAGTGAGGTCTGTAGGACTGAGGCAAGCTAGTCTCTGAACTATAAAGTCGTGAAACTGGTTCACAAGCTCCATTCCAGAATAAGTTCTTGGGATGAAGCCAAATTGAGCAAGAGAAGTGATGTGAAGATTAAAGTAGAGGTGGAATAGGGAACAGTCAACAATCTTAACAGAATGTCTTGTTTTTGAACACACACAAAAGTAACAGAAGCTCCTAAGAATCATGCTCTCAAAGTTCAGTAAAACTAATGTCAACAGGAACCACAGAAAAGCTTAGCTATATCGCTAAAGTTGTTTTAATGAAGAATCAAGCAGAAATAATACCTTTACAGGCAAGTTTACCAGAAAAGTAGGCCCACAAAGCAGACCAAAAGTTCATTTGCAAAGGATATAAATTACAAAGGAAATTTAGAATTGGGAAAATGCTCAGGAAAGCATTTTATATGACATTTAATAAGTAAAGGCTAAACTAGAAGGGACACAAGCACTACAGATGATGCCTTAAACTAGGTAAAACTCAGGAATGGAAAATATTTTTTAAAACTAGAAAGTGACATTGAAGATAAGGAAAAGAGCATATGAAGTCGAAAATTCCAGAAAACTTCACTAGTTATTTAAGGAGAACCTTTTAAAGTACAGTCTTGGGGATGGGTATTTGTGGTGTGATGGATTAAGCTGCACTATTTGGAATGCCCACATCCTATATCCAAGTGCCTGAGATCAAGTCCCATCTCTGCTGCCAAACCAGTTGTAGATGGCAGCTGGGAGGCAGCAGATGATGACTCCCTGCTGCCTATGCAGGAGGTCTGAAATTCCTGGTCTGCCCTTGCCCTAGTAGTTGTAAGCATTTGGGGAGCAAATAGATCTCTCCCTCTATTTGTCACTCTGCCTTTCAAATAAATAAGCAAACTTTAAAAAATAAACTGCATTCTTGTGGTTGATGTAGTGGTTAAGATACCACTTGGGATGCTTGCTTGCACATACCATGTTTGAGTGTATGGGATCAAGTTGGGCTCTGCTTCCAATTCTAGCTTCTTAATATGTACCCTGAGGCAGCAAGTAATGGCTCCACTACTCGGGTCCCTGCTACCCATGTCGGAGACCTGAATTCAGCACTGGACTTCCTGTCCTAGCCTGACCCAGTTCCAGGTGTTAATAGGCATTTAGCAAATGAGACATCTATCTCTGTCTCTGCCTTTGAAGTAAAAATTTAAATAAAACACACTCATACCTAATATGAACCTAGAATAGTTAGTCAAGGCATAAATAATACAAGGGGAAAAATCCTTTGACTAGGCAGAAACAGTGATAGAGGAAAGAAAAATTACTTGGTGATGAGACCTTTTCACCATTTCATGCCTGAAGAAAATGGAGTAACATCTTCAAACTACTTGAGGGAAAATGAGACTTAAGATTTATCTCCAACAAAATTGACATTCAGGTATAAACGTAGCAAGACAAGCCTATCTAACATAAAAAATTTGGAAAATAGTCTTTCCTTAATCTCTGCCTCAGGATTGTACCAGAAAATGAGCTCCAGATAGCCAAGAATAACTAGAGAAAGAGTGACATAGAGACTAATGGTAAGCTTTAAGGATGATAACATCTACAATTAAAACTAAGTGACAGTTAAAATGAAGAGAATATCATACGCAGAAACATTCCATTTAGCTGATGATAGTTTAGTTATTAGAGGACCATTGTGTCTATATATGGGGGATAGAAAGTATGGTATACAGGCGCACCTTAGAGATAATGGGGATTCATTTCTAGACTACTGTTATAGTGTGAATCACAGGAAATTTTGGCTTCTTAATTCATATTCAGTAGACTGTTTTGTAGTCTATTAAGTGGGCAATAACATGTCTTAAATTTCACATACCTTAATTAAATATTGGTAAACACGCTAAGGCTCATCTGAGCCTTGAATAAATCATCTTTGTTCTGATGGAGAATTTTGCTTCAGTGGTGATGGAGTAAGCATGGTATTTGCTGAAGGTTGGGGTAGTGTGGCAATTTCATAAGACAGCATTGAAATTTGTGGCACCCATTGACTCTTCCTTTTTTAAAGATTTCTCTGTGGCATTCGATGTTTGATAGCTTGTTACCCACAATAGAACTTTCAAATTGGAATCAATTATTTGAAAGTCTGCCACTGCATTAGCTACAGTTTAGGTAATATTCTAAATCCTTCAGCGTCATTTCAGCCATGTTCACAGCATCTTCACCAGGAGTGGATTCCAACTCAAAAGACAGTTTTCTATGCTAATCCATAAAAAGCAGTTCCTTGTTCCTTAAATTTTACCCTGAGATTGAAACAAGTCAGCCAAAAATAAGAATCTCCTTCTGATTCTAGTTTCCTGGCTATTTTCACTACTTCTGCAATTATTTCCCTCACTGTGGAGTTTTGAACACCTCAAAGTCATCTACGAGGATTGGAATCAATTTCTTCCAAACTCCTATTAATGTTGGTATTTTTACCTCCCATGAATCGTGAGTGCTCTTGACAGCATCTAGAATGGTAATTCCTTTCCAGAAGCTTTTTAATTTATCCAGATCTATTGGAGAAATCATTATCTATGACTATGGCCTTATGTAATGTATTTCTCCTTGATCCATAGATGTAGAATGAAATATTGTGTTAGTAGGCATGAAAATATTAATCTTATACATCCCCATCAGAGCTCTTAGGTGGCCATGTGTAGTATCAATTAACAGTAATTTTTTTAAAAATGTATTTGAAAGAGTTATAAAGATGAGAAACAAGAGAGAGAGACATCCTCTAATTCACTTCCCAGAGGGCTACAAGGGCTGGTGTTGAGCCAGGCTGAAGCCAGGAGCCAGGAGCTTCATTCAGGTCTCCCATGTGGTTTTTAGGGGCCCAAGCACTTGGGCCATCTTCTGCTGCCTTTCCCAGGCCATTAATAGGGAGCTGGATGGAAAGTGGAGCAGCCAGGACTCAAATGCACCCATATCAGATGTCGGTATCATAGTGGCAGCTTTACCCTCTATGCCACAATAACAGCCCCAGTGAACAGTAATTTTTGAAAGGAATCTTCTGAGCAGTAGGTCTCAACAGTGGACTTAAAATATCCAGTAAACAGTGATGGAAACAGATATGCTGTCATCCCAGCTTTGTTCCATTTGTGGAGCAAAGGCAGAGTAACTTTCATGTAGTTCTTAATGGCTATAAGATTTTCTGAATAGTAAATGAGCAGTGGCTTCAATTTCAAGTTGCTGGCTACATTAGCCCCTGAAGAGCATCATCCTGTGCTTTGAAGCTTTGAATCAAATCATTGACTTAGCTCTAGCTAAAAGCCCTAGTTGGTATCCTTTAGGAGGCTGTTTTTGTCTGCATTGAAAATCTATTGTTTGATGTCAGCACCTTCATCAGTTACTTAGCTACATCTTCCAGATAACTTACTGCCACTTCTCTATCAATATTTGCTGTTTCACTTTGCACTTTTGTGTTATGGAGACAGATTCTTTCCTTAAACCCTTTGAACCAATATGTGCTAACTTCAAAACCTACTTCTGCAGCTTCTTCTTTCTCAGCCTTCATGGAATTGAGAGTTAGGACCTTGCTTTGGATAAGGCTTTGGGTTAAGGGAATGTTGTAGCTTATGTTGACCTTTCCAGACCACTAAAACTCTCTGTATAAACAAAAGGCTTTCTTGTCACTCTTGTATTCACTGGAGTAGCACTTTTAATTTTCTTCATGAACTTTTCCTTTGCATTCTTACCTTGGCTCACTGGAACAAGAGATCTAGCTTTCAGTGTGTCTCAGCTATTGACGTATCTTCCTCATGAATCATTTCTAGTTTTTTACTTAAAGTGGGAGATGTATGACGGAATCTTCCTTTTGATTGAACACCTAGAGGCCATAGTAGGGTTATTATTTGGCCTAATTTTAATATTATTTTATCTTGGAGAATAGGAAGGCTTGAGAAGAGGGAGAGAGGTGTGGAAAAGCTGGTCAGTGAAGCCATCTGAATACTCACCACATTTAAATTTGCCATATTATGTGAGTGCAGTTTGTGGCACCCAAAAACCATTAACAATAGTAACACCAAGAATAACTGATCATCTAGGCATGATGTTTGGCCTAGTGGTTAAAATGCCTGTGTCCCATATTAGAATGCCTGGGTTCAAGTTTCAGCTCTGACTCTAAAAATATATATTGATTTATTTGAAAGGCAGAGTAACAGAGAGGGAGAGACAGAAGGAGAGAGAAAGAGAGTGAGCCTCCATCCACTGGTTCACTCCCCACATGGACACAAGAGCCAGCACTGGGCCAGAACAAAGCCAAGAGATAAAACTCCATCTGGGTCTCCCATGTGTGTGGCAGGGCCCAAGTACTTGGGGCATCCTTCACTGCTTTCCTAGGGGCATTAGTAGGGAGCTGGATAGGAAGACAGAACAGCCAGAGCTCAAACCAGCACTCTAATAAT